ATTCAGGGTCCGACTGGATAGCGGGCAGCGCAATGGTGGCTGGAGGCCAGTTAAACTGTTCCTCAAAGTGTTCTGCCCATCGTCCCAGTCGCCTTCCCTGCGAGTGAATCGCAGATCCGTCCTTCTCCGCTATAACCTCACTAACTGTTGTTGACCATTTCCCCCCAGTCTCCTTAATAAGTCTAAATAACTGTCTACTGTTACCGATCGCCGCTGCCTTTTCCATCTCTTTAGCCTTTGCTGCCCACCACTGTTCACGATCGTTGCGCAGACTTTTCGTCAGTTATTTTTAAGTTGCGCTCGCTCTTCATTGTACTCAGAGCCTGCAGGGATGCATTCACGTGCATCCATTAGTTTGGAAGAAGCTGCTGATATCCACTGGCTCTTTTTAGCCATTATCTTGGAGTCGGCTACAGTCTCCAGTGCTGCTTTTACAGTAGACTGAAGATGGCACCAAGCTTCTTCTGGATGAGTGACAGTCTTTTGTTCCGATAACTGCCTAGCCAACTTCTCACTGAACACGGCTTTGGTGTTTTCGTTGTCCAGCAGAACTCGTAGTGGTTTTGTTGCCAAATTTTTTCTACGTCCATTGAGACGCAGGCATATACGTGCTCGGACCAACGCATGATCGCTGTCCAAACACGTACTCCAGAAGGAGCGGCAGTCTTCCACCGATCCTCTCCAGCGATGACTAATAGCAATGTGGTCTATCTGTGTCCATCGCTGAGTCGAGCTCGGTGGACGCCAGGTCAGACAGTGCCTTTCTTTATGTCTGAAATTTGTGCTGGCTAAAAATAGGCGGTTATCTGAGCATAGTTGTAATAGGCGATCACCGTTATCTGTACGTTCAGCTGGGATTCCGAAAGTGCCACCTAAGTGCCTTTCTGCCTCACTCAGTCTACCCACCTGTGCGTTGAGGTCACCTGCAACAACCACTACGTCCGAACGTTTGGCTTTCGAGAGGAGGTTAGACAGTTTATGGTAGAACTCGTCCTTCACTTCATCCGAACTACAGTCAGTGGGTGCGTAAGCAGAGATTACAAAGAGACAACGGCGAGTCTCACTATTCCTTTTAGTTCTCACTGTGCCGTTCAGCCTCATAGCGCAGAGGCGACTATCAACTGGGATCCAGTCTAGTAGTGAGTTTTCTGCCCTGGTGCTTAATGCTATACCTACACCTGCAAGACCACGAGAGCTAGCTATCGAATCTCCAGAAACTCGAAGGGTGAATTTTGCAGATTCACCAGATTGGTCAGGAGAGGTCAGGTGAATAACCACACTTGGGTCCTGTATGCGTGTCTCACAAACACAGCACACATCCATGCCCGAGTTGCTAGAGTCTTTGCCAACGAAGCCTGTTGGCCAATTTGACGGAGGGTGCGGACATTGAAGGCTCCAATATGTAATTTGGAGCGTGGTTTAAGGAGACCAGGGATGCTGTTCTGTGGACTCAGATCGTTGTCGAAGGCTGCAGAGGTAGGAGAAATTGAAGATGATGCAGCATCATTAATTAAGAGACGTGAAGGAAGATTAGAAGGTAATGATGGAGGAGGAGGATAGCAGTCAGAAGAAACTTGGGTGCTGACAGAGTTGTGAGGGCGGTTGACACTTCCCGGCTGCCCACACCGTGGAAGGCTATTTCTTCTTAAGGTACCTGAAAGAGATTTGTGTGACCGCAGAGCCCATCGGACATCTGCTTGAGGCCTGTCACACCCAGCCTTTTGAGTATGATTATTTTGAATTTTTGTATTTTTGGGGCCGGATGATCGAAAGGAAACGACAAGTGAACCAACACCGCCGGCCCGGCAGACCGTGGGGCGTGGTGGAGTGTGTTATTTTTGGGGCCGACCTTTTCTAACCCCCCTTCCACTGAGAAGGCAGCATCAGCATGGCACTGCTGGTCATCCAAGGGAAACACCTTACTGCTGTCACACCCCATCCAGCTAGCAGCAGTACGACTTCGCCCTCAGACCCCCATCATAGTGTAGCAATTTACACTATGACGGTAACTGCTTTTCGTCTAACCACTACCCAACAGACCTTTCTGGTATGGTAGGACCTCGAGGGAACAAGCGTTCCACCAGCATAGCTCGTTGGGTCATTGTGATATGCAAGCCCGACCACCACGTCAAGGTAGCAGCTATCGGTCGAGGAGCGAAAGCAACTTAAAAATAAGTTGACTAACAGTTACCGCAACGACTACAAGAAGTGATAGGTAACAAACGAGAGAGATATGGAGAAAGCATCAGGACTAGGTAACATTCGACAATTATTTAGGTTGATTAACGACACCGGCAAGAAGACGGTAGTTAGTGAGACCAAAACCAAAAACGATATCAGCCTAACAGCCTCTCAAGACAAACGCCTAGAACTTTGGTCAGAACACTCTGAAGCATATTTCAACTGGCCTACACTAATACTTTGACTATCCACATCCCAGCCCGAAAGTGAATTGGATAGAGATGTCAATCTTTGAGGTTGAAAAGGCTGCTTCAAACCTGGAATGATGCGAAGTAGCACGACCTGACAGTTTACTATCAAAAGTTGAGAAGGAAAGAGGTGGGGGGAATTAATGAGTAGTCTAATGAAGGTATTACGCAGAGTAAAGGAATTAGAGGTAGTGCTGTCAGACTGGTTTACTTCACTGGTCATTCCAGTCTATACGAAAGAAGAAAAGTCATCTTGTGACAAACATACGGAAATCACTTGAGTATCCAAGATCCTTGGATTCATAGTTATCCGACTCCAAACTAGAGCTAGAGAACAGTGAACTCCAGAAAGCCAGAAACATGTCACGCCTGGACGAGAGTCCATCGAGTGAACCTTCACCCCTTGTTAGGTTATGAAAAACAAACACACCAGTGCTCAACACTTTCCATATTTGTTGACCTGAAGACGACATTTAACACTGTCGACCGTCAGGTGTTGTGGCAGTTCTGACCGTGAAAGGAGAACCTAACAGGTATATAACGTTAATAAAAGCTCTCTACTTGAATTCATGCAACTGTTTAACAACTCGTCCGAATCGATGACAACTAGTGGTGTCAATTAGAGGTGTCTACTGTCACCATCCCTCCTCAGCTTCTTTATAGATGTAATAATGAACACAAGCTTAGGTAGGTCTGACTTCATACAGGTTGACCTACTACTTGGGAGATATCTGATTGGCCTGGAATACACAGAGGATATTAGCGTGTTAGGCGAAGATGCTAACAAAATGCGGCGTGTTCCAGACATCCTGAGTAGAAATCTGCGTATGCTTGGCTGCCATGCGTTTCACACCTGTCAAATGTATGATGATAGTTCCGGACGGTTATGCAACTACTTTCAGTGTAAGGATAGGCAGTGAGGTGGTAGACTGTGTCGACAACTCCATTTACTTGAGTAATTGCAGCAGGTTGTACTGGTTGGTGTCTGATTAAATCTCAACTCAGATGAAATCATGTTTGTTTATGATTTCCCGACTCTTGGTGAAGCAGCTGCAAAGCGGTCACAGTGGTGCACATGAGTCCACTTTCTGACATCTAATGCTTGAATATTTTCGGTAACCTCGATTTTCTCCCACCATGCATTTTGTCTTCCGTGTAACGGTCTAAGTTTGATTTTGTCTGTTATCAATATACCTACATCGGATAAACTTAAAAAGTGTTCAGATAACAGTTCTTTGATGTCCACAGTTTTCAAGAAAAAACGATAAATCCTGCTGTGATAAATACATAGGGGACAAATGTTAACCAGCATAGTATCTTAGAGTAAGGGTTCTGTAATCATCAGACACCTAATTCGGCTTACGAACAAGAAGCCGAGAAAACAAGGCAGATTTCAGACCTGGTCTTGAATGTACCGATCAGATATTCAGTCTCAGTCAAGTTCTAGAATGCAGACACATCTAGTGACGCCCGACAACAGCTGTATTTTCTGAATAAAGGCGGTATTCGACTCTATTGTTTGAGAGGTCTTATATCAGTGTTACTCACTGAACAACGCGCCAGGTACTTACATCACTCTGTTGAAGGTTGTGTACTCCAACACCCATGGACATATTATAGTTATAAAAATAAATTATGAATGTCGGGTGGTGTGGTGTCTGTCAAGTATACCTACAATCTCCATTCTTACTTAGCTTCATTATAGTGTACGTATGAAGGTCTAACTCTCAAAGTCCGACTATATTGCATAGTATCACCATATCAGCAACGTAGAAATCATATGTACAGCTTTTGAGTAGAAGAATGAAATCAGTTGATGAAGTTGTGAAGCTTCATCGATTTAGGTGACTACAACGCCTGTTACGCATGTCCAGCCACCATCTGCCTGTCATGTAATATCAGCCGTAGTAGGTTTATGCTAGGAAAAGGTCGGAGGCAGTCAGACTGAAAACATGCCATCAATCCATGAAGTCCGTGACTGTTGTTCTGAGCCGCATAGATGAATGTAGAATTCTTATTCACGGTTCACAGGGCAACTGAAATCGGTGGTTGATACCTGTAGGTGATATGGTTCATAATCGATCTACCTGACACAGACTCGATTGCTCATCATCTTCATCTTGACCATCATGTTGAATTTCACTACTGTTTCATTCCTTCTTGTTCACATTTCATAATATCTTACCACTTTTACCTACCTTCTTCCCTATTTATGTATCTTCTATTATGATGCATTCTCATTTGATGTGTTGATATTGCGGTGTGGCAACTTGGACCATTTCACAGTGATGTCACATGCTATGTCGATATTAAGTGTATTGACTGTTTAGCAACAGTTCTGTGTTGTGCTGTTGAAGGTTGACCAAACGGTACTTGGTTCGAAGTTCAACAAAAAGAAACTAGTGTCACAACCATCTCATCTTCTTTAGTCCTATCACTTGTGTTCCAGGATTAGTCTTCGAGCAACGGATAAGTTCAATATCGGAGAGGTAAACCAAAAGCACAGATGGCTATTAAACAACAACACCTTTATCGTCTAAAACAAAACCTTGAACACACAGACATACTTACTTAATTTCATTTTGATCATTCAACTTCATTAAAAGCATATATGCCCGAAATTCTGCTTCATTAGGACACAGATTTTCAGAAGAATTTAAGGAATCCAAATCACTATACATCTCTTTTAATGTCTGTAAACACTGGGTTAAGTTCTCTGAATTTATACGAGGATCAAAGCTATCCACCGGTTGATCAACTAATCGTGCAGCGCAGAATATATGAAATCTTGCTATTCGTTCAATAACACCAATAACAATTGGACAACACAAATTTTGTTGTCGCACATCTTTACGAATAGCTCGTGTACGTGTCCACATAAATTCATACCATGGCTTCCAGAGACTACGACTAGTATCGATTTCTGGACGATCAGCTATGCTGGCTAACAGATAAGCCATTGTACGTTGTAGTACATGCGTTGGTCGTAATTCTCTGGGTAATGGGACAGGTTGGTCAGCTGATGAGCGTTGATAATCTTTCACTGCACGAGTATGATCCATCTCCCAACTGGATGAATTCGAATTTATTGTTGTAGGTAGACATTCAAATATCTGTGAATGAAAGGAAATTGCAAGACTTGAAGATGAGATAAGTATATCTGCTGTAGCCTATACAACGATTTAAGATATGACAACAAATCAATAAACACAACTCAGAGCGCTATTTAGAAAAAAATGGTTACGATATGTTTTGCGTCTACTTAATCACCATTTTGCCCAACGTCCCTTGCTGACAGTTTGACAAGAAGCTTCAAGTTGACCACTGAGAGATATGAAACCAGGCTGTATGGTCAGCAGTAACTGATGATCTATTGCGCATAAGAAGTCAATGTCCTACACTGCTTTCCAAGTGTGGTGTGACAGCCATATCAGAATTACTTCTCAAAAGTTATAGACGACATACGATTCGAAATCGGTTACAATATAGCATATACACCCGTAATTTATCTTGGCATAAGTATTTAGTACTTAGTGCCTTCCCGCTGTGCAACATTTGTTTAGGGAGATGACTTTTAACCAGTGGTTCATGGGTTTGAGCACCGCTCCACCTACTGACGTTCGGGTAACCAGGTAGTGATATCATTAGCCCTCACATAATAGATGTGGCTGATTGCCTACTGCGAGAAGGTGCACAAGGATGCTGAGTGTTTTTCGATTCGATTGTTATTTACAACTTTATTTCGCCTTTCGTTTTTAAATTATTTGCTCTGCTAGTATAATCATTCTTGTTTTCTACTACCTTCATTCTATTTTTGTTTCCCCCCCCCCCTCCCAAGGCATACGTAAAATGCACCAAAGTCGATACACAAATTCAGTGTTCCCCTTTCCCTTTGTTTTGTCACATAGCTAACAGGTATTACACGATTATACAAGGGGATTTCCATACATTACTAGTAACAGACTAGTTCTGTCAGATAAAAGGCCTTGGTTGACGAGGATACAGTGCACAAAACCAAACTTAATAACTCAACAATTTTACGAAAAACACTCATAGACTTGCAGCTATAAAGTGACAGGTCCTCATGTCTTTGAAGAAATACCAGTAATTCACTGAAATCCTGTTACACTCACGCAAAACTTGGATAACATTTCTGCATTTCACATGTATTAGCCCTGTTGATTGCACCAGGAGCTACTATTGAACACTCGAAGAGATGAAGCTTGACTGGGAGACAAGTCTTCGGACTCAGTCCCTGACTGACTCATGAACCCGGTAGTAGTGAGAGGTGGAGCTGGTCTTAGCGGGATAACTGAGGCCGGGCACTCGATGCCATCCCAGATAAAGAGGTTAGGGTAGATACCCGGGACTCTGGGGCCTTCTCCGTTAGTAAGAGTGTATGACCTGTTGTGTGTAGCGGTAT